CTGCGCCGCCATAATCACATATACATTTTTTTTTTTATTATCCAAAACGATTGAAAGCAATGCTGGGACATTACCCTCAAAATTCGAAACTTGGGAATTCAGTATTTCTTAATTAAAAAAACGATTTCCAAATGCCGAATTTCAAGGTTCCGCGCGATCCGCGCCAGTGCAGTGAGTCAAATTTTGCGGTCTCCTGCGACTCGACTTTCTTTCGGACCTCCGCTTCACGCTGCGAAGCAAAGCGCCGTTGCCACCGCGACCCGAAACGAGGAGGGTGTGAGGAGGCGGGATAGAAGGGCACTGGCACGGGAAAAAACCGGTTTCTTCCCCAACTCGCCGATAAGCCTCTGCTCGAGCGCCGCCAAGTTTTCCGAGGATACAAATCCACGAAGCGGCATCACACCGAAATTTGATTTTTGGTATTTCAAAAAGAGGGGCCGTAGTGCGTTCGCAATTGCTTTAAAAAACATGTTTTACGATTGCCGTTATTAAATGTTATAGAAATGTCGCCTACAAAGCTTCTGAATTTCCTGATTTTTGACGTCACCGATCAAAAGAAGCAAGGAGGTGAGCGCGGGAAATATAAACGCCAAAAATAAAAAGGCGCGCGCGCGCGCGGGAAAATTTGTTTTCGTGATGCGGTTCTTTTTTTTTTTTTTTGCGTGTCTATGACTATAACTTGCATCGTTTTAGACAATACAAACCCCTTTAACCTCTTTATCCCACCAGCTGATTAGGTGTACCTGGACTGCGCTAAAAGTTTGTATACTTTTTCGGTTAACACCTCTAAATAGGCCTGTTCGTGGATGCAGTCAATTAAGTTTCAATTAAAACTAACTTTAGCAGTGAAATTAAAGCTTGGAAATAACGTTATAGCGTCCAGTTGGATTTGCAGGGCATACTGGTTGTCCACAAGCTGAGTTTTGCATGATTATAAATTTCTGCATCTACGTAAATAAATTGCCTTAGAAATTTAATTATGCTTTTGCAATGGATGCTAAAAACGGGTCCATAGAAATGGGAATGCAAAGAAGCTACAGGCCAACGTATGAATCTTAAAACGGTATTATCGGTGGAATAAAAGGGAATTCCGATTATATCCGTGTGCTCCGAGGAGCAGACGACGCTCTTGTTCGCTCTGATCGGTGCGAGACGCTGGACAAGGGCAGCTGGCCTTTGCGTCTCCCCACTAATCCTTCCAATGAGCGCTCTGACGTCACCGCACGCTCTCACCTCCTCCTCTCCCTCAGTTTCTCTCCGTACATGCTCCGTTCCTTCGGCAACTTGGGAATGGGGAGTTTTAGAATAAGGGGCCCCTATGCAGGGATGCTCGCGCTGCCGGCTATCGGAATAGGGAAATAGAGTGAATAGAGTTTTCAATACGCAGCGTGGCCGACGTCGCTCAACTATGCCTAAGTCAATTAAGGCGAGGCCGCTCCAGCGTCCTGTGCGGTCAGCTTTTGTATTTGAATTTGAGTTGGTTGGACCTAGAAGAAGACCTATTTCTTCGCTATGGGAAGCCATTAGGGAGTTTTTGTAGATCGTTTCCGCCGTCGCGCAACGCCCTTCGCAACCCGCTACGAGATCCGAAATTCCTATTAAAGCAGTTAGGGTTCGGCGCATGCGCAGGGGTGGGCCCCTATTTTATTAGGAACCCCCGAGTTTAGGGTCCTCCTATTCTAAAATTTCTTAATGATCGTTGTTTCGGAAAGCGAGCAAATTTCCGACGCCATACACGTGAACCCTGAAAATGGCACCGGCCAGAAGCCCGTTTCTGGAACGGTGTCGGGGTTCCTACTGCCACTAATAAGCTACGCGTCAGGGTAACAACACTTACCCATCGTTGCCGGTTATCTGAGGCTTTATCTGAAATCATAGGAAACTCTTTTCCGTCCTCAACGAATGTTCAAACAGTTCGCGACAGGGAAAAGTAATATTACATGAGTTTCCTAACACCGAATCTAATGCTGAGGAAGTCGCACTTTTGAATCATGACGACCGGCACTTGCGTCTGCTCTTTACTAAGCACCAAGATGATGGCGTTTTTAACAATATCGGGGAACAGAGCGCCGAAGTGTAGCTCATTTTGTGGCTCTAGCTGTTCCTATTCGCGGTGAGAAGCTCGCTAGGGGCAATTCTGTTTTCCTCTGGATCCGGACAAAACGGTCCCGGACAAAATGGTCCCAAGCAAATGTTGAGACTTACTTTGCTTGTAAATTGTTTGCACTTGCTGTAAATTGGACATATATAAAGGGTGGTCCAAGTCACCAGGCTCGATTTAAAATGGACCGTAAAAACCGACGCCTGCACGTAGCAATCTAAACTTTTCGTCAACGGTGTAATTCACAGGTCGGTTTTTTCTCGTACAATTACAAAGCGTACTTTTCTTTCTGTAAAAAATAAGGCCAAGAAACTTGCCAGGGTCTACGGCGGGCAGCGACCCAGACGACAGGGGTTCAGTAGCGGGGTGTGTTTAGCGTTCGTATTGATAGATTGCGCTACCTCCTTATCGCGACGGCTCGCCCCACTGTAGTTTATTAAAATGAACATAATCTTTTTAAATTGTACCTTCGGTTAAAAAATAAATGCGAACACTAAAAGCAAAACTTAACGAAAAAAAAAAAAAAAAAGACGCGTCTGCATAACGGCGGCACTTTTGCTGCCAAAAGGATTTCGTCTGAGTGCCGTCTGCTATCTTTCGCTGGTCGGCTAGCTGCACCTTACGACGCTGCTCCCGACGCTATCACAAAAATATATTTAAGGTGCCTGTTGTTACAGTGTAAGGTCGGTCTGCCTTTGAGGATCGGCGATTAGTAAGAAACGGTCACTCTACCCTATAGATACATTAATTCACAGTGAAATTCTCGGGTGCGCGTCGGTTGTACGTCAGCGAATATCTGGACGGTCCTGGAGCCACTCAAGAGAGAGCATGCACTGGCCGAAATCAAGTTAAGCCAAGCCGCAAGCGGAGTCGTCTCAACAAGGGTGTCGAGGAAGCAAGAAGCACGGGACAAGCGACTTCAAGCAATGCTTCGACGCTACAACGGAACCGACAACACAGATACCTTCAAGGCGTGCGCCCGAAACATTTCACTATGAGTAGATGAGTAGAGTGACCATTTCTGGGGAGTTGAGTTGAGAAAACGTCTTTATTTAATGCCCATACATAGCCGCTAAATAAACTAGTTTTGACACAGTTGCATAATTGTACACTGTCCTCCGATTAGTTACCGGGACGATTCATAACCGAATTGTGTTGGAGTCCCAGGAAATCAGATAGCGTTCCTTGCGAAAGTAACAGCGATTCAACCAGATATTAAAAGAGACTCCAAACATTCGTGTCAAGAGAGCCTCACCCGAGGTTTTTCATTTTTGTAGCGATATGCTCGGCACTATAGAAAAATGACATGGAAAAACAAAGTTCCTCAATAGTCTGACGAAATGCCTAACGAAACGCCCTACGGACTGCCCTACGGACTGGCCTATCGTACCCATTGACCTGCTACGAATTGTGTTGCGACGAACACTCCTTCAGCCTTTGGGACCAACCATGCAGCGCTGAAAGCATATCGTGCGAATGGCGTTCGACGAATTTTTTTGCGCATGTTATTACCGGCTAGTTCAATCAATCGCAGAGTGCGCCGCCACCTTGCGTTTTTAGTGTGCGCGTGTATATTCCTGTAGTGACTTCCAGGCTCCAGCTTTGTATGTATACAATGCTCCAACTTAGGCGAATAGGAGCCATAGAGTCAAGTGGGCGGTAATACATTAACTTTTGGACTTTAGTTGTTTTCTCAAATATATTAAAATTATCTATACATTAAAGTATACATAGCGCGTGTTTTGAAAGTAGCAGTTAACTAAAACTTCAAAGAGCGCCCAAAGTGTAAAACAAATCACATAGGGCCATTTTGTCCGGGTTTGCACTTGGGACCATTCTGTCCGGGACCATTTTGTCCGGGACCATTTTGTCCGAGACCATATCATCTTAAAGCCCCTTCATGTTTCAAAAGTAGCGCAAGGTGCGTCGATACACGAGGCACGCGTGCCACGTGCAGCCCTTGGGAAGATCATGGCGGCACAGCGCAGCACTGGGCTAGGTTTCAGACGCCGTGTTCTTCCCAGGATCGGCGCGCGGCACGTGTCTCGGGAATTTCACAACAATGAAGGTCGCCACTTTTCCCACAATAGATTTTTTTTTTCTTACACACGTTTTCCTCATTAGGGCTATGTGCACGTGCTACCCACGCGGTTATGCGTTAATTTTCATGGGGCATAGAAACTTGGCATTGCACTTGCTTGTACCAGTAGAGGAAGTTGAAGTATCCTCACTCTGGATTGTGAAAAAATTCCACTAGGCAACGAGGAGCTCTTATTGTTGTAACAGACTGCATACGTATCCTAGCAGAGCACTAAAATAGCGTAAACACTGCGAAAATAAAAAAGAATAAAAAAAAAAAAGAAACAAGATTTTAAATGCATAATTGACAAAAAAAAAATCTTGGCCAAAACTTGCGTTCATTTGCATTGCCTCACCAAATGCTTCGTTTGCACATGCACTAGAAATTCAAACGTGAGATACAGACTCTGCTCCGATAACGCTGCACCGAACACGAGCTAAAGACAGCTCTTGCCCCTGGCAGGATGAGAACGGGAGGGCGTTTCTCTCTCGGCTGCCCCACCTCCAGCACGCGCTTGTTGCCTTCCGCCGTGCTTTGGCTGCGCGTGCGCGCTCGAGGCTCGCGAAACACCAACACGGTATCAAAGGTAGAAAGCTCGCGCTTAATGCGGGACAACTGAAAGATCTCCCTGTCGTTCTCATCGTGTCAGTGACCGAGATTACTTTGACAAGGTCGCTGAATCACTTCATGAACTCGTGTGATCCGGCGGTCGTGCTTTTACGAATGGAATTGGCGACAAAACGGGCCACTGTTTTTCGGAATCACGGGGGAGGGGGGGGGGGGGGGGGGGGGGGGGGGTTTCGCACGACTTCCGGGGAATAGCTCGGAGCATTGCTTTATTGTTTATACATTAGCTAGAGCGATGTTGCTGTACTCGTTGAGTGCATTGCATGAAGCACACCAGGCAGTCCTCTATCTTGGAGAGCTTCCGTTGGGGGCCGTTTCGAAGGGATTTGAGCCTGGTTAGCTAACAGAGGCCTGTCGCAGGCACGATTGAGCATATCTCATAAATGCGGGGAGTGTGAGATTGTACCAGGAAAAGTGTGAATAGAAGCCCGCGTTTCTACTTTGTCGTCGCCTTTGACTCGACAATTTTGTCGAAAACGGGCACCACCATTTGGAAAACTTTTTCTTCGTCCTCTTCTGCCGAAATCTGCGAGAACAAAAAACGGCAGTCAATCGGAACTTTGAAAGTGACAAAGAACCACAAATGAGAGGAGCGATGTTTTGTCACCCCCCTCCCCTCGACGCTACGAGCTGACGGGACCAATCAGCTAAACCACTCACAAACAAAGAAGGCCTAATGACTTGAGCTTTTGACGGTGCTTGATTGGCCCCATTACCTCGTAGCGTACGGCAACGTCTGAACTTAAACTGAAATAAAGTATAGTAGATCCACGCAGCTCGCGGTTACAGCTGGTTAAAACTCTCGATGACGGGCTCTGACGTCGTGCCGCTGCGGTGGCGCTGCTGTCGCCACTGCGCATGCGCAGAAGCACCTCCTCATGCGATACTGGTTTTTGCGTGTGTCCACACCTAGTGCGGGCATAGGCGGGCTTGTCAGCGTATCTTGTGGCGGCGTAAACGGCGTACCTTGTGGACGATGGCCTTGTACTTCTCGATGACCGGCTCCGACTCGTCGCGAAAGGTCTTGATGCGGTTCTTGATGGTCTCCTCGTTGTCGTCCACGCGGCCGCTCGTCTGGCCCCGAGCCAGCAGCCGCTTCGTCATTGTCTCGTCCGTCACCTCGAAGTACACCAGGTCCGTGCACTTACACACCTGGACGACGAACATAAACACACACGCTCAACCAAAAATCTCCGATTTAGTTCAGAGTGTGCACGCTTGCGTGCACAACTTCTGGGAGTAGGTGCGGTTGCTGAGGTATAGTTCATGGCTCATGTCTCGTTAATATGGACACCGTTTTACTTCCGCTATGCGTATAGACACACTCTCCGGGGAAACAAACTGGGTACATAATGCGAGGGGTACATACTATAGAAATAATCGTCACGATAAGTGAAAATAACAAAAGTGTGTTCATTATTTTTATTTTTATTGGTGAAAATAAGCGTATGGTTCCAACTAGAATCTGGCTGCGCATCATCGAAAGCCATTTGATAAGTCAACTTTCAAGATTTGGAGCTCGTTAGAAGCTCTGCGGTGCGCTCATGTTACCGATCGGGCAACAGGCGCAAGGCTGGCAACGCGGGGGATAACCTTATCGTCCGCGTTTTCGTGCAGTATCTTACGTTTGAGCACCGAACGCCAGGCCCCGCGTGAGGAGCACACGACGCTCTTGTTCGCTCCGATTGGTGGGAGACGCTGGGTGGGGAGAGACACAGAGGCAGCTGACCTATGCCTCTACCCACTACAACTTCCAATCAGAGTTCGGTGCCCTGACGTCACCGCCATCTCTCATTCCCTCATCTCGTTCGGTTTCTCTCCGTATAGATTTCCCTAGTCCTGCAAGAGCAATAAGTGAAACCATAGGATGTCTGCGCGAGTCCTTTGTCACCTCTTTCTCAAAACGCTCTCCTTGTTCGATGTTTCTGGGGTAGCCGTCAATGAGGTAGCCCTTCGCTGTCGCGAGTTGTTTCCTGATCCCTTCCTTGAGTAACTGGAGAACGACGTCCTGCGGGGAAAAAATATAAGATTAAACGTTACAGAAAACTGCACCTTCCATCTCTTTCTCTTTCTGTAACTTTAATCAGTGATTTGATTCTTGTTTTTTTTTTTAATTAATATTCTTCCATACTAAAAGCTGGTGTCATGGTACGCAAGATTGCTCTGCGGGAACAGGGGGATGATACCCGACATCATCGGTTTATAATACGACGACTCTCTCTTTAAACCCTATAGTTGTCATGTTATCCACTAAATTTAGTGTGGCTATTCCACCCTATAACTGTCTCTTAGCCTTGCCCTGCTACGTCAACACCTCAGACACCACTCAGTACAAGAGGAAGCCGCTCTCGTCCAACCTTCTAAAGCTAGCGGCAGCACGTCAATGGCAGAGAACTCAGCAAGGACCGCAAGGGGCAAGGGATGAGTTCAGCGGAAAGGTATCCGTTTCTGCCATGAATCGAAGTAGTGTTGTACGCATGTGGCACCCGGACGTTAACTGCGTATTAACTGTCACGATTCGATGACAACAGCTAGCCACACTACACCAGTTTGCAACTCAAGAAAAAAGAAAGTTTTACACGATGTACATACGCCACGCGAAGTAGTTCTAAGATTTGGTTGTCGGAGGAAGAAGCGATGCCCTTTTTGCGTTTGGAACGTGCACGTCATTATAACATAACATATATATGCATAATAAAAGATTCACCCACATTTATCTTCATTCTCTACATAAAGGGGGAAATTAGTAATGCTCCGCGAGGAGCCGGTCTTTTTTTTTTTTTTTATTACGGTTTTTGAGGTGAAAACAACTATAGCTTGATCATGTCTAAAAAGGCCGGGGAGCACAGAATGTGTTGGAAATGAGCTGGGCACATGATATGTATGTGACGTCACGCGACGTCATAAGGTCACATGACTGTCATCGCACGACGCCATGCTGACGTCATGATGGCACGTGACGTCACAGTCCTTTGAGATGGTTTTTCCTGACTGGTCTATCGTGACGTTTCTCTCGTAGAAATCTGCTGATAAAAGACACGTCCCGCGTTGAAAGCACTGCGCGTGGGGAAGGGCGGCTTACCAGAGGCACCAGCTCCCCTTTCTTCATGATCTCGTTGATCTCCTTGCCCTTGTCCGAGCCGGCCTGCACCTCTTCTCGAAGCAGGTCTCCGGACGAGATGTGCGTGAAGTCGTACTTCTTCACGATCTTCATGCACTGGGTGCCCTTGCCGGACCCGGGCCCACCTGATGCGTAGGTCGAGCACCATTAGGATCCTCACATTCTTCACATAAGTGAGCCTTGTTCTCCATTGCACCTTATCATCGGAGTTCTCCGGTATAAATATTGCGGATTGGGATTAATCCTAAAAACTCCCAGTTGGGTAGTTTTCCGAAGATCGGGTCAAAACCCGACTTTTTTTTTTTTTCGTTCTCTCTAAACTTTTAGAGCTTCTTTGAGATTTTTTTTTTTTTTTACTTTGTTTGTTAGTGTTAAAAAGGGAAGTATTTGGATCTTCACTACGATAAAGGGTGACCTCCGTACGATAATTGTCAAACACGCCTGACCTTTCTATCTTATACTTCAACCTTTCTCTTGGACAAAGCTCAGCTCTTACTGCTTTATCTATGAAAATTCTGCGTTATTAAATTTGCTGCTTGCTGTTCTCTACATAGGCCAATTTTGTAGGGTATAAATTTGTTGTTTGGAACTCTAATTAAAAGAACGTTAATCTTCTCGATCCTGTTCAGACTAAGGCTGAGGCTCGTGCAAAGAGGGCTAAGCCAGTCAGATTTATATTTAACAGGTACGACCGACATTTATCCGCCATGACCGCCTGTGGGACTCCACACTCTAAAAAAAGTCTGTGAGTCTACTTTCACGCACAACACCTCGTAGAGCCAATCACCACAACTTACGGAGGCAGCTCAGCGAACGACGATGCCGATACATATGTTTAGACCGAAAAACGCAGTCTGAGTTGTGACATTAGGCAATGCAAAACGTCACGCTTGCATTGCTTAATGTCACAACTCAGTCTGCGTTTTTTTGTTCTAAACATATGTTTCCGTATCGTCATTCGCTGAGCTGCCTCCGTAAGTTGCGCTGATTGGTTCTCCGACTGTTGAGCGGGAAATTAGACGCACAGACGTTTTTTAGAGTGCAGTCCCAATTTCTTTCCGCCGCGGCATAGAGTGGCTAAATATGTTACACAGATTCTTAATGAGGACGGTGGCATTGAGCATACTAACTATATTTTCTTCTCTGCTACCTCACGCGCAATACGATTCCATCATTTGATTTCATCATTTAAACACTGCGCCATTTCAGTTTCGCATAAACTGTTTTAAAAATGTGTTTCTCCGCGTACGTTTTGAGACGCGGAAAACCGGAACAATCTACTAAAACTTTCTGCTGCGCCTCACTCTGGACGGTTATTAATAAAAATCAAAATGGTTTGAGTCGCGATTTAAACTAATCACGATTTAAATCAACCTTTTTTTTCCCGTTTTGGCAGCTTAAGAAGAGCGGGGGCGTGGCTCATTATGTTAATTAACGCTTCTTGCATCATGATTGGTTTTTGGGTGCCTTATCGGCTGACGCCCCAATCTGATTGGCTGTTGAGCGATAATGAGATGTTCGAGACTAGCCACGCCCTGCGTTCCACCATAGGTGCATATTGAAACAACGTGCCGACAGTTGTGTCGTCACAGTAATCAGTTCCGGCGAAGAAGAGCGATATTGCAGTAATCGTACCAAAGACGAATACGACTGGAACGTCGACCTTGAGCGGCTCCTTCATGTCTTCACTCTGTAGGGAACGGGAGAGAAGATGAGCAATGTCAGTATCAGCATAGCGACGCGTGTACAGAAGACAGACGCACGCGAAACACGAGCTGTATGCGTACAAATGCGCTTTAATTTCGGAGAATCGGAAATTATATATATATATATTTAGAGACAACAAAGAGGTGGTCGTCGCAAGATGCGGTTGACAGACTTCTACATAGAACAAACACTGTGAACGGGGAAACGTTATGCGTTGATAGTGTATATGTTTCTGTGCACGTTCAAGACTGCAACTTTCCTGACAGAATACACACATCTGTGTGTTTAAAAATGTCAAATCTCTGTGTTGTTTTGATATAAGGTAAACCAAACTCTTTAGATACAAGAAACGCAGGTTCTTCTGCTCCTTTTGCAGGGGTTGTGGTAATGTAAGAACGACGAGCTCTGACTGCAAAATAGTGGGTAGACATCAAGGCAGCTTGCTTTGAGGTACCCGCTGTCTCTCAATCAGAGCCAATCAGAACTCAGCGTCGCTCTGACGTCACCACAACCCCTGCAAAAGAAGCAGACGACTTGCTTTCCGAATAGCCTGTTGCAGAAACGCAGGATTCCCACGAAGCCCTCTGGTCGCCATGAGCGGTGGGATCCAACTCTTCCTGCCCTCTAGAGTTCGCTCTGCCAAAGTGGAAATAGTGGAGGGCTCTGTGGGAGGGACCTGTCCTGCGTTCCATACGTTGCAACAGGCTATAGGCACCCTGCGTGCGCCACCGTGCATGAGTTGTACTATCAGTAACCCGCGTCATTTACCTAATGCCCAATCCTGACGTCAAGTCATCGACCTACCGGTTTGGTCTCCGGTTTGGTCTCCGGTATGGTTTCCGGTTTGGTCTCTGGTTTGGTCTCTGGTTTGGTCTCCGGTTTGGTCTCCACTTCTTTGGGTTCTGATTTTGGCTCTTCCTTTTTCACCTCCTGGAGGAACTGCTTAAGGTCGATCTGCTTCCACCAGTGCTCTATCTGCTTGCGATCGAGTCTCTTCAGCTCGTACTCGGAATCATATTCGGACTCTTCAGAAGATGACAGCTCGGCAGGCGGACGAGCCTTGACTCCGACTAGATTCGCCAGGTAGCTAAAGATCCCTGTTGAAGGTGGGGGTGGAGGCGGTTTCTCTTTTTTTTTCTTCTTTTTGAGCTCGCCAGTCCTCTTGAGCACAAAGAGGTCTTCGAGGTCTCCGGGCTGGACAGTGTAGTCTCCGACCTGGAGGCCGCTTGAAGTCTTGGTACACGTGCACACGAACGAACGACTATTTGGTCGCTTGACGACGTCGACGTTGTCGTCGTCGATGCTGCGATCAGAGCCACGCCGACGCCTGTCTTTATGGTCGTCAACGTCCACTTCGACGCCGTCCTCGAAGTACCGCTCATATCTGCGCTCGACGCCAATGTCGTGCTCGCGATTCCTTTCGATCCTCAGTTTCAGGCGACTTGAAGTTCGACCGGGCTGATAGTCACGGTCATAAGCACGACTTCCACTGCGGTCCCGCCGGTCTCGATACTGTTCGCGGTCTTCATACCGGTCTTCGTCGAGGTCCACGTCTCTCTTAGACCGCGATCTTCTGGATTCGGATCTTCTACGGGATTGGGCCTGCTCCGGCAAAAAATCATCCGTGATCGAGAGCCCCGCGACGGATCGCTGCCGGGATGGCGTATTCATGGACGAAGACGCGGCCATGGCGAATGGATGGATGCCGTGCATCCTCGAGTTGTAAATCATTGACGCGGGATCCTGTGTCATAGACCCTGAAATCATGTGTTGCGGCATCACGGGTACCATGGCGGGCTGCATCATGGTTTGTGATGGCATGCGGTACGGGGCCATGACATCTTGAGTCGAGGAGTGCGAGGAATGGTGCGCCACCGGCGAGATGGATCTGTTCCGACTGGCACTTCTGCTTTGCAGCAGCTTGGGTTTCAGGCTGAAGGTGGTGTTGCTCTCGTAGCGCACTCTCTGTGGGGAATGGGCGCGCGGATCGCATGTACGCGCGGTCAGTTGGTTGGCAAATTTTGGACAGCGCGCTGAGATAGAAGAAAACCTATTTGAACGCCCATGTTTGTTGATTCAAACGCACGATTTGAGGAAGGCTGTCTAGATTATTCAAGTATATGGACATATATAGCCATGGTAGGCTTTTTGTTTATCTCATATAAGTGTTACTGACCTTCCGAATAGAATGTGAACTTTTTCCGAATAGCGAGATGGTTCTAGTCAGTGAGGCACAGCTAGCCGTTATACATGCGCAGTGCTAAGGCATCTCTTTCTCTCTCGCTCTTTCTTTCTCTGTACGCAGTTTGGAGTTTGAGCTTATCTAATAATCCGACTGTGGTCAAATGGATTGTCTCCCAGATTGTTTTCTCTAAAACACGATAACGATCTAGGTACGACCTTTTTTCTCTGAATGAAACATTTTGCATATAATGTCACAGCCACGGTGAGGGTGAAGTTTCTATTATACAAAAACAGGCGCCCGTACAGTATATAATAAGCTCAATCTAATCTCTTAATTTAATCACGTGCACGTGACGGGCACCACACGGCTCTTCTGTGTCGCTACCGGCTTACTGATTGAAAAGAATGATATTTTGCAACGGGTTATTTGAAAGCCTCAAAGTGGTAGCAGCCGATATTTCGTTGAGACTTCTTCATGCTCCAGAAAAGGCTAACTTTCAGATTTCCGCCATTTTATTTGGCATGTGCTGCTGGGCACGTGACAAAAGCGAATTTCCGCAATGTTTTCCTAGGTCATGCAATCAAAGTTCGCCGGTCTCAAAAGAGTCCCGGATGACAACAAAATGGTGGATTGACGTCGCGTGAAAACGACAAAGCCGCCGTCACACTGTTGATGGGTGGTATTCACTGTGCGCCATATTTGAGGGCGGTGTTCACGGCGCATGCTCAGAACGATCCCCCACTTACCTTCTCTGAAGCGCTACATACAATTTCGGTGGTGTTCAATGCACGTCGCGGAAGCGTTAAGGAGGCCCATCGTCAGCTCGCGCTCAGGAGCAACGGACGCAACTATGGCCGCCTTTACCATCTCACAAAAGACTGTCTGCAGACAGGCTCCAAGCCCGCATGAGACATATACATGCTTGGAGCCTGCTTGATGCGTTGAACGCGGTAGCTCTGTCTTCATGTCTGCAGAGGACACTGTGTCTTTTGTGCGATGCTCGTCGTCTGCCTGCCATGTGATGATTATAGCGCGGTAACTGGGGGCTATGTTGCGCTTTTTGCACTCCCAGGAGACTAGGGAGACGGAAGTGACGTCAACAACGCAGCAAATGCAGATTGGATGTTGATTTTGTTTTCTTCTGTCAACATCCAATCTGCGTTTGCTCCAGTCGTCGACGTCACTTCCTTCTTCCAAGTCTCCTGGGAGTGCAAAAAGCGCAACATAGCACCCCTGTGCGCTTTCGAAACTGTTATTTGGGAGTCAGGCAACCGCGGAACGACGCGACGTGCACAAAGCCGCGCTTTCGATGGGCGAGTGCAGAGAAAGCTTACTGTATTCTGCGGATCCGCCATGTCTGAGGCTGCTGACGGCGAGCCAGCCCGAGGCTCGGGTCGAGGTCTCGGTCAGGGGGTACTGTCCCCGGTGTGAATTTTGGGGGCCCGCTGCCGCATCGGGAAAGGTGTGGTCACGCCAGTCCCGTTACCGACAGCGCCCGGCCCCAGGAACACTGGCGAGCGTGCCGCGGTGCTCGCCCCGAACCCGCACGTGCAGCAATCGCCTCTCTTCTTCCTCTTCTCCGCCGTGCTTCTTGTCCCAGCATTGCGATGAACGGGTGATGTATTTGTAGTTTATGTGTGTCGGTTGATATGGCGGTGAAACTCAAGATGGTTGCAGCACCCGTGTCGTCCGTGATATCTTTATGTATTTTTTTGTTTTGCGAAGTCTGGAAGACAGGATGTTTGGGGACTCGTAACACCAACTCGTGTTTCTGATGTCGTGCCAAGGTGGGCGGCGTTGCCTATGAAACGGCGCATGAGTGGATGCTTTGGTGCTGCGTATGTTGGTCCCCCATCCTACTGGGCTCGCTGCACACGGGCACCCAAAGTAGTGAGGCGACATCGAGGTTACATACATACACTTTACTAATTTCGCTTTTTTATGTGGTGAATTCAAATCTATACAGGTGCATTTCAGGTTAACTTTGTTATTTTACCAAGACGCACACGTTTTAAACGCCACAAGCATCGTTTCTTCCCCCGATAACCAAATCTTGCGAGAACTACTTTCCTCAGCCTGTGAACTATATACGTAAAACTTGAATTCTTCCTTGATCGGACGTACAACGAGCATAGAAGACCAAGCTTGCACATTTTGTCCCTATAAACGCCACCAATAGTGGACCCACGCAGCGCCGCCAGGCGTTTCGCAGCATCCCACAACGCTTCGATCGCACTTTAGACGGTGCGCAAGATCGGTTCCTCAACGTATCGCGCTGCGATTTTCCACAGAGGGGTTCGAAGGTGGTGCATTCATTAATCGAGACTATGAATGCCTGAAACCTGAGTCGAAAGAAAGGCAATAAGAACTGGTTTTGCCTATAGAAAAGTTATCGCTAAGCCTTTTTTTTTTTTTTTTTTCCTCCAAATCATTAAAATCGTTCTGGGCTATTCTGGCGTTTCTGACAACAAAACATTTGGTGAAAAAAAAAAAAAAAAGAAGATAATTGGCTTACCTATTTTTTATTCGTCTGGCCCAAAAGAAGCGCCACAGTGACAAAATATTATTTATGCAAATTAAGTATAAGAAATACATCGTTTTTGATTTTTCGTGACTTACTCGGGCGAGCCAACCTTCCCACAATTTCGGTGAAAGCTTCCACCATCTTCAGGCACTTCGGTAGTAAATCCTAGCGCGACAGGTTAAGAACCCGATGTGTGCGGACCGACCAAAGTGGGATCGAAGCGCTAGCGTACGCCAAGACGGACGCGTCTGCCGCTCCGCGGGAGTTGTTTGCCGCTTGTGGGAACGATGGGGGTCCACAAACGATGACGTCATGTGTATAGGCCTTGTCTTCTAGGTGGTGTCGATCAGAGGGAGGGACGCACGGGACTAGGTTACGTTGGATCACACGCGCTTCGCTTCGTCGCTCCAAGTGGTATGATGGGGCCGTATCGTTCGCTCTATCCACAGCCCAGCAGGCGCCTGCTCGTTGCTTTGGAAAGCGAGCGTGTCAAGACAGGCGTCCCGCGAACCTTCTGGATCCTCTTTGCGGGGTTTTAAAGTATCTTCAACGTCGATCCAGTCGGCGAGTTTGTGCGCCATTCTTCTCCCATTGTGTAGCCGAAGGTCGCGGTTTGACCGGCGTGTGTGTCTCGCTGTTCTTCTACGACGTTATTGTTCCCAACGTTCGTTTCTTACGCCGCACAACTAAATACAAAAAAAAAAAAATAAAAAAAAAAAAATAAAAGGCTTTTGAAGCGGGCTTAAATTTACCCCGAAAAAATGCTTCGGTAGCGATCGGTTTCATCTATTTGGAAACTATCTTCTAAATGGCGCGCTCCAATGGCGCGCCTGAATGACTTGTCCTACCGCTCTTCCTCAAGTGTGTTTTATACATGTTGTGGTTTTGCTCGTATCTCAACTACATTTCGTCTGGAGCACGAACACGGTAACAAACCTACACAAAATTCATATGCCACAAAAAGATTGTTGCCCATTATATAAAATGCCCTATACGACTCGCACACGGAGGCATTGTTTAGACTGCTCGGTGTATGGGCGGTTCTTAACTTGTACAGCTATAGATTCATCTCCGCCTACAAAAATCAAACATACACGCATAATAAGACGATTTCAATAATGTCAAACTTGGCAAAACATAACCCTGGGTACGAAGTTTGAAAATGGGAATATTGGCGCGTGACCTCCAATAAATCTTCGTTCGGAATCAAATGCTGATGCACACTTTACTAAAACTGTTAACTCACCTTGTAAGTAAGAACCAGGATATGCATAGCGCTTCTCTTAAACAATTAATAAACTTTATACAGTCATCGACTTTGACATAAACGAAATAAAATTGTGCCTGGCTTAAGGTGTTTGGGTTTGAGTCTCTGTCTTGCTGAATCTATACTGCTTCACAATTATTCTACCTGTAACTTTTTGTAGGTTATATATACTGTTCTTTTTTTTTTTTTACAAATAAAATGCACGTTACCATAACGTGCCGGTGATGTTTGCTTTGTTATACAATTTTAGTGTAAAAATTTCGCTCCATTAATTTATCATCGTTGCCATGTTTCGAATCAATTAATATTTTTCTTTGTGATTTGCTTTGCTGCTGATATTCTTAGTTCATGGCGTACTCGGTATTTAGTCTATTTCAGTGTGTATGCCCTCACAACACCTCACTTTTTCCTTTGCCGCTGCCACTTCCTTGTAGGAACCGGGGGGCGGGGGGGGGGGGGGGGGGGGGGGGGTGCACGTGAAGCTGCTTGATCAGCTGTTTTCCTCGGCCTCCCCCATTTTCATGTTGAAATGGGAAATAAATGAATTTGAATTCGAAGCACCAGAGTGCACGTTTCACTATATATATATATATATATATCTACAGAATCATTGAATCATTGCATAGCAGGTTATACCCCAGTGTACTATACTATTATAAAACTAATTAAAACTGAGTCCTGAAAAAAAAAAAAAAAAAAGATAGAATGACCGCGTTTTGTTTTTATATGACCGACAGCCGTCTTAAAAACGTAAGTATAGTTGCATCGAATCCTAGGGATAATTAATGTTACTAACAATACATTCAAGTAGTTATCAACGTGCGCATTTATATCATGGAACCTGTAGCTGTGGCGGATGTCTAAGGGGAGTGCCTACGTTAGCGAGGTTCATGCGCAATTGCTACCACAAAATAAAAACGATTTTGTTTTTAAATAAAGAAGGTATGAATACTTCTTTCTTCTTCTCGTTATGTATGCCTAAATTATAGTCCCTAACACTTTAAGAAATGTAGGGAGTGGCGTATCATGCGTTCCCTAATCCTGCTTCGTCGTGATTGGCTCTTCGGCGCTCTCATCCGCCAATGCCGCAGTCTGATTGGCTGCCGAGCGATAATGAGATGCTCGGGATTCGCCCCGCCCTGCGTTTCTTAAGATGTCGGTTACTTTAGAGAACGTTCGATCGTGTACTAAATCCATACGTGCCATTTCTCATCGCTCTTCTGGAGGTCAATAGAAGCGGCCTTTCTACGAAGCAATCGCGCATCTGTCACCAATATAACAATAGGGGAAACCATTCGAAGAACACCGAACAGCGGCGGCGGCGGGAAGTATAATTTCCGCGCCTATTTATTCTCGATCAATAGATAAAGTGAAGATTGCTCATGGGAGAACTTAATTTGGTTGTTATGGTGGTGCAGCTCGCACGGAAAGCCAGGTGACAATAAAACTGCGAACATATAATGGTTAGATTAATTACATTACAGGGAAACTCCAGTCTCGAAGCCAATTCGTATATGTTTATCTTTCTCAGCGCGCCGTCGTCACTCTATGTCTATGACAGTAAAAATAATAAAAAAAGAAGACATCGGGTCGGACCTGGAAACCAATCTTCGCTATGTAAATCGATACATGACTACAACATGCGCAGTAGCTCGACATTTGAAAATAAATTGATTAGCGGCATGTCGATATTATTATTATTATTATTATTATTATTATTCAAAACTCAACGGTATACGTGACATAATATAAAATCGGATCCTAAAAGTCGTCAAAAAACGAGCAAAACACATAATCATGTTGCTACTTTTTTTTTTCATTTAGCACATATTAGTTTACCTGATTCAGTAGGATCAGTCACAAAAAAAAAAAAAAAAAAAAAGAAGAAAACCAAAACGATTATATAGTACAACGTCGTTACCACATTCACAAAGTATGCAAATGCTATCAACCTAACTGCAGGCTGCGAGCTACCGCGCACAACATTTAAATAGTAAAAAAAGATAAAAAAAACACGTCGTAAAAGATTAAGGTTTCAGAAGCATGTAAAAGGAACGAAGATTGAGACATTCCGTTTCCGCGCCCGTAGCAGACGACCACCTCTTTGGGAACTTTCCCTTTCCCACCAAATTCCAGATAACTAAAGGCGACTATTGCAAACCACACAAATCAGTCACTCGCGTAACACGATTTTGATACATATTTGTTTTGTTTTGCTTTTTAATAAAAAATTAGCTTGCGCATTTTTGCTAGGAGAGTCATGCAACGTAGAAAAAAGATCGCGGGCTGCATTTCTGCATGGGTGGGGACAAGGTCATGGCAAGGCGGTGTTTGATTTTTCTCACCTTGTTGACGTTGTGGCTTCGAGGCGGTAACAATACTCCGAGCGAGCGAGGTAAAAAAGGGACAGAACAGCGGCAAGTGGAACAGTGCCGTATTTCTTCTGGCCCAGATTCAAGGCGATCTACAGAATAAATAGATCCGCGGCAGTGCGCTCCGCTGTTGCAGTTTGAGTTCACTTCTGCGTCGTCAGATGGCGACTTGGGCGCGGAACTCGGGTTCGTTGGTTAGAACCCCGTGAGATGGCGCGAACTACTGTCTATTTTGTGGATGCCAATGAAACGCTCTCGAGGTGCGACGTGTTTGATTTCAGTGACGGTTGTAAAAAGCGCTGAAGGCAATTCAACACTCCTTGTAATTACCTTTTTTTACGAATACACCCACACCACTTTCTTTACTATACTTGTTTCATTGGTTTGTGATACGCTAAAGCCGTATCGGCAATCCAAGAAAGGGCATACCAAACGATACATTGAACTCAAAGTTAGCTTCGGTATATTTATAAAGGTATATACACATATTGATTTTGTACCATGCCTAAACTTTAACAGAAGCGGCAGTTCTTGCTTTAGAACGAGCTCCGGTTGCACCAACGCTTTAGCAGCTAGAGCGTGCACAGAAGAGATACGCTCTTGGGAAACGCGTTAAGATAGCTTTCCTGCATCATCTTGGAGCCAAAGGAAAAGCGTACCTTCGAAGAAAGCGGGGCAAATATAACAAGCAAGAGAGAGGGAGAGAGGGAGAGAGAGAGAGAGAGAGAGAAAGAAAATCAGTTATGTTGTTGGCTGTTGACTTTTCCTCCCCGAAATTTAATTTAATTATTCGGGATAAAGTTTTAAAAGTAATTTAGTAATTAGTGGAAATCTGTCCTCTCGTTGCCAGGCTCTTGATTGGAAATCCCGATAACTTGTAACATACGCTTTCACTGAAACAAAGCAAAAAAACATTGATTGACTGGTTGATTGATCCGGGGTGCAACAAGGAATCCTTATTGGATCGTAATTTTTTATATACATTAACTATTTCTAGTCGACCATTCACCTCAAATTAATTTTTGCTCACTTTAAAAATAGTCCGTGCGTCTACTCTCTCGCACAACACTCGGAGAGTCCATCACCGCAACTTACGGAGGCATCTTAGCGAATGACGATGCCGAAACATATGTTTAGACCAAAAAACGCAGTCCGATTTGTGACATCAAGCAATGCAAAACGTCACGATTGCATTGCCTGATGTCGCAACACAGACTGCGTTTTTTGTTCTAAACGCATGCTTCGGCGTCGTTATTCGCTGAGATGCCTCTGTAAGTTGTGGTGATTGGTTCTCCGAGTGTTGTGCGGGAAAGTAGACGCACGGGCCTTTTTTAGAGTGATAAGCTTTTGACACCACCCATCGAAATATTTGAAAGCCGATAAAAATACTTGTTCAAAACGTTTTCTTTTTTTTAAGTAATAATGGCAATTTTAAGGTCGTCTTCCCCCTTAAACGGAAAAACTATTGAAGGCATTTTCTCATTTTGGTGTTAACGGTTTCTACTATTCCTTGTTTTGCTGTTGACTGGATGTACGAGATACAATCATGGTATGTGCTGCTGGTGTTGCAGTGTCCTGTAAAAATCTACGGCTATCACTTTGGAGTGTGCAAGCACATAATTTTATGTCATGAACCCTTATCACTCCTGCTGCAGCTTCAATGCAGGTGAGCAGCATGAATGAGCCAATATATAAAATAATCGAGGAATAAATTCGTGTAATAACCAACCTATATTTGGCCTCAACGTTTCTCTATTCGTTTTTCCTCATAAACTTTCGAACAATTTAATTGGTATTTTCACAAAGAACTAGTTTGACAAGTTTGCATAATGGCCCCTTCGGTTTCTTTCTTTAACAATCTACAACCCCTATAGTATATTGTTAGACAAACCCAAATAACCATAGTAATAGAAAGCTATGTATTATGCATGGACATCAGTGGCTCATTATCGTCACCACTCTCAGCAAAACTTTGAGCTGCAAGAAATACATACCGCAAGTGTTCCGAGTCACGAAACACCTTAGCTTGGAAATGAATGTGTGTAAAGCATTTGCTTGTTTTATTTACACTTAGGAACACTTCTTATGGGGACGGCATGAAAAGGAGTTTGGTCTTGTAAAATCTAACAGCAAAAAAAGAGAAGAAAAAAAGTAGGTTTAGGACGTTTTATTATGTGATGCTGTCAAAACTGGAGTGGAAGAGGGGGAACGCATGCAAAAGGTTTGTGCGCTTTGTGACTGAAATTCTGGGGAAATGTTGTACTTGTTGTACTCAACCTAGGGGTGTATATAAATCAACAATGTGATGAGTCATGCCGTACCTTAGGATCTACTGGAAGTATTTCGGAACACTTTTCCACAGAAAACAATTTCACTCATGATCATGCGAGGTACATGCCTCGGTTGGTAAACATGAATACTGGATGGCTCCCGCTCACCTGAGTGGCAGGGTACACAACGTCAATTGTGAACTTCCTTCTGTTGCGAGCATTTTTGACACTAAAGAGTTCATGAAACAAACAAGGAACTAGAGCACCGCACGGGCCTACTTTTTGAGGCCCGGCCCAGGACTGTTGACTGGTAGTCTTCTCCGACCCAAACCCGCCCCGTGAGACACTTATCTGATCAGGCTTGGCCTGGAAAGAGGTCAAGGCATGCCTCATCTCTTAAATTCAAAACTGTCCTGGAAAAGTGTGGTATATTTGATTTGTTTACTAATTTGCATGAAAGAAAGACGCTGGCCTATTGCAGTCATGTGGTGAACATTGGAAAGCTCACAGAAATATAAAAAAAACATAGTTTATCTTTGATAGCCAAAGGGTGTTTCTTTTTCTTCAAGAGTTCGAAAAGGAAATTGCCCTTATTTTCTTGCCTGCTGGCAGCTGTCCCACTATGCTGATGGAATCCCCGGAATTTTCCGTATGTTCTTGGGATTTCTTAGTCCAAAACAGGTTTCTTTTTTTCTACGACTATTTTTTAGTGCCGTCGTAACGAGTTCGCATTACGGCTTTTTCGTTTCTTTCAATTCTAAACAATTAATGCTTTAGCATTTCGATTAATGCGTTAGCATTTTCATCTGAACATTTTAGAAAGTGTGCTACGTTATCGCCCGAGCCCGGCCCGGGCCCAAAAGCAATCCATGCAACCTAGCCCCGTGCAGAGCTCTAAAAGAGACACATCCACTTTTGGTCAACGAGCCATTGACAAAATATGGCCACAACATAAAAATGCGCATCTCAGTAACTACGATATATGCCAGACTCCCGACATCTTGCCCTTCTGCCAACGATTAACGTTTCGTTAAAGCACCAAAAATCGCAGGTGTCAACCGCAAGGAGCGTTTAATGTCAAGCTTAAAACAGGAAGACAAAGAGCAACCTCTGTTGAAACGAACACAGAGTTTTTTCTGGTCCCGGCCCACCAACACTAGCTCTGAACCACATACATGCCTTGCACCAAAGAGTCGGGCACCTGAAGCGCCATCAGACTGTCTATCGCCTGTGTCGTGGCGACCTCCTCTTGGACCTCTCCGAGCTCGCCAGTGTCCTCTGACGACTGCGACTCCTCCCGGGCAAGCGCGAGTTCTGCGGCGTGGGCCGAGCGCAGGTGAACATTTAGCTTGTTCTGAAACAAAAACTGCTGGCTGCAGTGTGGACAGCGAAAGTTCCTCGCGCGCTTGTGGCGCTCTTCGTGCGACTTTGCTGCCCCGTGCTGCGCAAACTCCATGCCGCAGTAACGGCACTGGTAAGGCTTCTCGTTAAAGTGGATGCGGAGATGCATCGCAAGGGTCGCTTCAGTGCTGAAATGCTTGTCGCACAGCGGGCACGACAGGTTCCCCGAATCACCACCTTTGTTCCGGTGCTTGCAGACGCGGTGGGCCTCAAGACTGCTCGCGAGCTTGAACATGTGCCCGCACACGTCACAGTGGTGCAGCTGCTCGGACCGCGGAGTGCCAAGGCCGCGCGGCCTCATGCGGCCCTCGTGCACGGATCGCTGGTGGACGTGGAGGCTCTGGAGCGACCCGAACGTCTTGCCGCACTCAAGGCATGTCTGGTGGTTTGCCACGTCGTGGCGCTCAGCGTGGCGCTCCATCTGGGCCGGTGTCGCAAAGACGCGGCCACAGACAGTGCAGGCCGTTCCCCCGCCGGCGGCGTGCAGCGCGGCATGCTCGTCGTACGAGAAGTTGGAGAAGAAGACGCGTGGGCAGTCTGGGCAGCGGCGCTTGCAGGTGACCCTGCGGTGCGACTTCTGCTGGTGCTTCGCGAGGTCTTCATAGTGCGCGTAGGAGAGGACGCAGCGGTCGCAGCGAAACCAGCCCGCCTCGGGGTGTAGGTTCATGTGGCTGCAGAAGATGCGGCGGTTGTACGTCGCGAACGGGCAGAGCTCGCACCGGTGCTTCTTGAGGTTGGACACGTACCGCCGCTCTTCCTCGTCGAGGCTGTCCAGGTGCAGGATGGCGAGGTGCATCTTCAGCTCGCTGGACGTCTTGAACTTCTTGCCGCAGTGGCGGCAGACGAAGTTCAGCCCCGCCATGTGAAACTGGGTAATGTGCTTGCGGAGGTAGATCTTGCTGTAGACCACTCGGGGGCAGTGGGGGCACTTGAGGGCAGTGCGCGGCTTGTGGATGGTGGCGTGCGTGCGCAGGCTGCAACGGCTCGAGAGCTGCATGCCGCAGGTGGAGCACAGGAAGGGCTTCTCCTTGGGGAAGAAGTGGCACCGGAGGTGGACGGCAAATCCCTGCAGGGTGGTGATGCGCCTGTCGCACAGCCGGCACTTGTGCAGCGTCCGGCGGGGCTCTCGGTCCAGCTCGATGACGTGCATCATCTGCTCGTGCCGCTCCCGCTGGGCTACATCCTGGAGAAAAGGGAAAACAGAGTCGGGTGAATACAATGGTACCGAGATGAACTGCTTGCACCAGGCATGCTCCTGAGATCTGCAGCTTAGTGAATTTGGTTATAATTGAGCATTTGTCCACATTTCTAAAGTACACAACGAGGAAACTACGAGTGGTTCGCGAGGCAGAGAAGAACATTGTACATGCGCCGTCAGTGCACATGGGACGTCTATGACTAGAGACCAAGGGCCTATTCACGAATTTGCGGGGCTTGCATCGAGACACAAATGTGGGTTACTGTAGAAACCAGGCAACATGATACTTGGTCGTTACAATTCACGGGCGTATCTCTACTCAAGTGGTGCTGAATCAATGAGCACCTAGTATTAATCAAACTAGATATAGGCCAACGAGAGTTAAATTCGATAATAATATAAGCCAACTTGTCCCGCTTTTGATTACGGCACTTGGAATGCACCTTAACTAATGCGTTCAGCATACATTTGGGGAGGAGATCAGATTGTGGTGCCCCAGGTGACTAACTTTAGAACTACACCGAAGGGGACAACAAATAACAATGACTCAGCGCTCGGCTGAAGTAACCAAACGCCACGTCAGCGTTCGGCTGGAGTTTGTGTCCTCCGGGCGCCCGAGAGGAGGAGGGGCTTACCATTTCGGCCTGCACGAACGATGCAGAGTGTACGGTGCTGAGCTCAGCACAAAAGCCTAAATGGGTCAAGCTCGCATTCTATGACAACTGCTTTCAGGAGAGACTCAGCACTAACAATAATCGTCACTTTGTTTATTGTTAGTATTTTTATGTTAGTCTGTCTCTATTGAAAATGACATGGACATGCACACAAGGCCTGTGGGCATGTCCACAGGCCTTGTGTTGGGTAAACACCGAGCTGTGGGGACAACAAACGGGTCAGAGCGCCCCCTATAGTTCAATCTCCTCGCCAATACCGCCCATGCGTCGAAAAAGTTCTTGAAGTGACAACAAATTACGTCTTGGGACGTCCGGTTGTCGGACATCGCAATCCGCCCAGCCGGTCGTAATAGTTCAGGCAAAAATCACACATTGAATGTGAGTGTCGCTGTCATTGCAGTGTCCCATCTCCTAGCTGCCGAAGCTTCCATTAAGAGTCAAGCTGTAGAGTGACCTGCAGCAGAAAAGACATTGGCTCGTCCACTGCTGTGCCAACACCAAGATCGCAACAGACGACAACATGACACAAGGGCAATGTTCTCCGAAATAAATCGAGGAACCACCAAATGAGGACATGCTAATAAACACACCAGTCAGAGATGTGTTCCAGGCATTATACTTTCAATGGAATGTGTGCCACGGTGTTTCTTAGGCTCACAATACATTTATCCTCACTGTTAACGGCCTAGGTTGACTAGAAGCATGGACTAAAGAGTCTTTCCCGCACGACAAAATCTTAGATAGTTGTTGTTTTGAGTCGAAATGTGGAGAGACCTAGCTTTGGGCGTGCCGTAAAATACCGAGCGAGCGCCCACTCAAGATTAGGAGAGAATCGTGGGAAACTGTGGGACGGACGCTCGTGAGGTCCAAGAGTGAAAACGCAAAAGCACACAGTCGAGCGGTTCCTCGGTTGGTTCAATCACCAAACTCTGAAGGTTGCTGTTTGCGGAGCTAGCCGAGCCGAGCCAAAGTGTGAAAACTCAACTTTTACCGTAATTTTCGCGTGCCAAGAGAGCATCCTATGACGCTCGACAGTTTTCACACCTGCAGCGCTCGGCACAAAACTGACGCAACCGTCAATAGGCCTAACCATTCACAATTGCAGCGTCCGAAATGGTCCACAGGCCACGGCACGTTTGTCAACGTCAAAATATCCGATGGACGCAACATGCTCGAGGACTGGCCGACACCTTTACTCAAGTTTCATTGGCAGTGTGCGCCACAAAGTTACTCTGTCGGTCACTTCCACAACTTCCCACTAGAACCCATAACTCACACACGTGTGCTGCCATGTTTTATTTGGCTTGGCTAGGCCTGGCTACTTGGTGACTTAATTGACTCAGCAAATCTGTGGGAGAAGAAAAAATCAATACTGACGATTATGTTGCAGAGAGTGTGTTCATTATGTGAGTAAATACAATAAATGGTTCATTACAATAAATTAAAAAAGTGACCGATTACGCACCATTTAGCTGGCGTCACTGAAGCCAATTCACCGGTGCTATGCCCGTGCTGTTCGCCAGTTGCGGAGATAATGGCTACCCATGGCGACTGGGCACCCAATGTGTTTTTTTGCATACTTTTGAACTTGCTAAAAATAGGGGAGTGAGCGCTTGCATGGTCGGTATCTTATGGAAAGTAAACTCTGAAGCAAATGAACACCGTGAAACACTTTGGGCTACTGCGGGCTATCATTGAAGGAGCCCAAGGAGCTAACACGGCCCTGTCGTAGGCCCAAATGCACTGTGCCATACCACCAAACTCGCTTAGAGTAAGGTCCCGGATTATGCCTCGCATAAGTAAGCTCACGCAGCTTTCCTTCTTGATCCACGTCTGCCGTTGTTTCAGAGTCGCAACGTTGCACAGTGACGTCAGACTCTGAGATCTTGCAAATCATTACCTGAAACACCAGGGAGCACATGTTGCACTTGTATGACTCTGCACCAGGGTGAGCTCTCTTCAAGTGTCTGCTGAACAGGAGCTCGGAGGCGCTCCTGAAGGCCCCGCAGTGCCCGCACTCCACGGGGTCGGCGTTCTTGTTCTCCGGCACGCTGGTCGAGCACCCTTCGATCTCCTCGTTCTTGTGCTGCCTCTCGATGTGGTTGGCGTAGTAGGTCTTGGACGAGAAGACCTTCATGCAGTACTCGCACACGTACACGTGGATGCGGTGCGTGTGCAGCCTCGCGTGCTTCTCCAGAGCGTGCTTGCTCGTGAACTGCGCGGAGCACACGTCGCACGTGAGCATGTTCTTGCTGTTGTGCAGCGTCGCGATGTGCCTGATCAGCGACTGCTGTTGCGTGAAGATCCTGCTGCATATGGCACACTTGTACGACGTCTCGAGCGTCGGCAGATGGCCCCACACGTGCCTCCGGCACTGAGCCCTGCCCAGAAAGGTCTTGTCGCAGAGACCGCACACAAACCGCTTGACTTTACCGGTGCCTCCGGCGGCGTTTGCTTCTTGATCGGATAAGCAGACGTCGCTGTCATCGTCCTCAGACTCTTCCGACGTGGAGAAGAAGTCGAAGGCCGGAGCGGAGGTGTCGCTAAGTCGTGACGAGTTCTGGACATCGGCTGCTGACTTGTTCGAGCAGGCGTCGTCGTCGTCCTTCGCGCTCGGAGCTGGGGAGTACGGGATAGGCGATGCTGGAAGATCAATGTCTGGGGACGGCGAAGGAGGCTCGTCTCGCTCGTCCACGAGCGTCAAATGCTTCGCACTGACCGTGACTCTGTCGTCCGCGGGGTCGGCGTCCTTCCAGATTGCCTCGACGCCACGATTATCGGAGCAGGGCACCGGAACGCACATGGGGAGGTTTCTGAAACGGCGGGTTGTGATCACCAACCTCTGTTTCGTCGCCAGGCAGAGGTCGGGCCTTTGATGGCAGCATTCTTCTGAGTGGGAGCTCGAGAAGTCGCCCACGAAAAGGGACACGATTCCGTTGACGGGGACGCCCGCCGGGAACAGGAGATCGGTTGAATACGGATCTGTGTTGGCGTTCACGTAGATGTTGATGTTCTGTTGGAGGGCTTGGCCCGAAATGGTGCTGTGCACTTCGGCCATGGCGAGCGACGCATTCGTCGACGTAGGGTGTGGCTTCGCCGATGGTGCTCGCAAGGTCTCTGAGAACGCGACACAAACGAAAATGCCTCGCTTTGTCTTCAAACATAAGCAATGAGGGTCATACTGCGAGTCGCCACAACGTACACAGCAAATGCAAGTGAGTGCGCCAAGTCAGTTGGATTGGATTGACCGCAAAGTGACTTAGGATAGCTATTAGATTCAATGTTATAAAAAGTGTTGCCAGACTTTCCTGTCGTGTAGAAGTTTTTTTAACACACGCGTGCGAATGTTAGATTACAATAAAAATAGTTATGGTATATAAAAAAAGCTTAGCATTTTTTTAAGGTGGAAGTGGATAAACAAGCGCAGTCACAAGTTTTGAATTAGTCAACGGCTTGCGCCGTCTGCCGTTAATTTTTACAGTTTTTTTTGTTTTGTTTTAGTTGTTGCTTTCAGCATTTACTTGATATGTGGCGCCATCTACAGACTTGTTTTCACAGTCATTCGCAGCAAGCGTTGGAACAAAGTAGTCGACAGGGGCAGCTTACTGTAGCTGAAATGAATGGGACCAATCTACAGGGTGAGATCGAGAAAATTAAACCCGGTGCTTCAGCCTGCACAAATAAACCACGCATCACAAATCAAATTGGACGTTTAGTGTTTATACAGTGTAAGGTTGGTCTGCCAGGATGAGGCGACACTGGTTTACACTGTAGATGAGCAATTTAGCCAGTGCAGTACGACTGCTAACCTGGGGTCTTTAACGTGCTCACGCAGTAGTGATACACGACCGCACGCCGGTACGATGCTCATCCCGATCGAAACGGGCAGGGGTGGGGCTCGAACCCAGGATCCCTGGGTTCTGCAGCGCGAGCTTTCGCTCCACGCGCGTCGAGCTGGGTGTGCGCTTCAGCCCACTCGGCCACCGATCCCCCCCCACGCATCACAGAGAGCTGAAACTCCGTTAGAAAGTAACGCTTGTGATGGTGATAAAATGCGAAAGTTGCAGCAATGTTAGCTGGATGAAAATATACAAAATAAAAACAAAAATTCTCCGTGAGCCTATGCCGTGAGTCAACGCCCACCTAAGTCAAATTTGCATCGTACCGATATTTAAAAATGTAGGCGCCTGTTGCATTTTTTTTTTTCAGTAAAAAGTTTGTCAGAAGGGCAAAATTGTTTTCTTTTTTCGCTGACAATATTTTTTTTTTTCATTGACATAATTGTTACACGCGCCATCAATCTCAAATTTGAATTTTATGAATATTAGGTGGACATCGGCTCTGATCATTTTTACTTCGTATCTTTTGGTCAAGGTAATATGTCGTGTGCTCAAACTTTTGCGTTTTATGACCGCCGGTAGCGTCACATTTTCACGGAGCTTCAACTTTTCGCGATGCGTAATTTATTTATGCGGGCAAAAAAACAACAACAACAAAAAAAAAAACGGTTTTATTATCTCGATAAAACTGCTGGCCTGTAGCCTTTTAGTTGGATGAAACTTGACAACACTCTCCGATCGCATTATTATTGGGGCAGCCGATGAGACGCGGCGGCGCAACCGCGTTCCATCAAAAATTTCTACATCATCCACTGATCACAGAGATTAGTGACATCACCACGCCAGCGTGGGACACGTGGGACACATATCTGCGTCGGCATTCGGCCGAAGCTCGTCTCCCAAGCAGGGCTCGTGTACTATCCGTCAACCGCGCTGGCCTCTGTTTAGTGACGGAGAAACCGCAACACCGCGGACTTCTCTCGCAGGCTCCGTACGGGTACAAACAAGCGTGCGCGCGCATGCCGACGGTACGGGCGTCGGTCTCGACGAGAAAGAGCATATGTCGCACGCGGATGAGTCCCTGACATGTTTACACGGCAGCTCGGGCGTGACCTATAGCTTCCCTGCTACCTAAGTTGCCGACAGGAATGCGCAGAATGCACTCTTCCAAAAGTCACGCCGGCCCCTAACGTGTCGGACGAGGGGCACAGATGTGCGCGGCCTGCGCAAGGAATTTAAATAGCTATGCTTCTTGCGGTGTCTTTTTTTTTTTTTTTTTTTTTTTTATTGCAATATTTTGTGCAGGGGCAGGAATCTTCAGAAAGATCACGCAAACAACGCAAATGCTCGTCTTTTTTTCGCTCATTTTCGCGCAGATCTGAATACAACACGTTTTACTTTCTTAATTGTAGAAACGATAAACGCGAAATGTTTCTGCTCCATCGTTTACGTGTCTATAAAAAAAATTAAGCATTTTCAGCTCCCCAGTCTAAAAGTTTTTATCGTGTCAAATAAATAAATGAATATATATATATATATATATATATATATATATATATATTAATTTTTTTTCCAGTGGATTAGGGTTGTAAAAAGCGAGGCTACCCTTGGTTCTTGGACCTGGTGTACATTAAACCATAGTGACGTCATGACTACCAATGTTCTGATTGCTGTTTCCGGTCTACGGTTTTGAAAGGCGGAAGCGGCATTGATTCAGCTCCGCCTCGAGTTGAACCAATTAATTTTTCGTTTGGGTGATAAGCACTGGAAAAGTGTTATGCACCTTTCCAGCGCACCCAGGCGGGATATGCCCAGTCACTAAATTGGGAGCATGCGCTGCACACGATATCTAGCAAGAAGAGAACTCCACCTACAGAATGTGGTCTAAAATTACAGACGATAAAGCATACAGCACAAAGAAGCTGGCTACATGAACGGTCTACAGAATTCTGCACTATTTAACCGAAATAGCTGGCGTTCATTTCGCTGAGAGACTGAGCCGCTGGTCATAAGCATATATTGTTGTCTATAAAAACGCAATAGCCTCTCTTCTGGTCTCAGTTATAAAGCAGAGGAACAGGACAAAAAGCGAAGATCAGTAAAGGCCGGTTCTCACATGCAGCGAAGCGCTGATGTAGCGCTCCTCACGTGCCGTCAGCTACTTATCGTCTGCCATGAGCAACAGTTTTGACGGTGCGATACAAAGCTGGTGAACGCTGCCGTCAGCACGCGCTTAGCGCGAGGTTAGCGCTATGCTTGAAGCGCTCCGCTGCATGTGTGAACAGGCCTTAATGGTCGCCTCTACGGTCCCAAAACGCCCAACGGGAGATCGTGAAATTTCAATCAACTTCTTATTATAAGCATTCATCTTATTCAATTGTGATACTTATTTTAATAGAATTTAAAAAAAAAAAAGCGCCAACATTCATATTTTTGTTTAGCGGTGCACAGAAAGGCATGGACCACCGATATAATTACTCTTTAGGCAATTTCGTAGTTTCAAGTTGAAGGAATCATTACGTGGACGTGTCATGACGACATAGCCAACTAAAGAAATGTATAAAAATTAATTATCACATTGAAATGTCGCTAAAAGTACTGAAAAACAGTGCCGCCAGAGGTTAATCACGATCGCAATTGCTCCAAAACATCCCGATTTATCTCGAAAGTCTGAAATTGACTTTTGTGTGTGTAATCTTTTGCGGTACGCAGTGAGAATACTTATGGTTTTCGTCATAAAAATAAGATCTAGAGACAGTTTGACAGTTTGATCGTCATAAAAATAAAAATCTAGAGACCGTCCAGTTGTAAACGCGAGTACTATATCAACCGCTAAATGCGATGTGCGCTTTGTCACTGGTTGAGCCACCAGTCATTGAAAAGGTTAAGCCTCATCTTTAGTCTACTCGAGCACAGATCTGTGCGTTCTCTCCGCTGGGCTTCTTTCACAGGTCCGGATGCTTTGTGGATGAGTGAGCGGGCTGACCTTTTGCAATCACCCAGTACAGCTGTTTTAATGGGTGAGCATTAGGACGCAAGTTTTCAGGAAAACCCGCCGGTGCCAGTCCGTACGTTCGTTTGTCAGCGCCATGCATGACGTCGCGAGGAAAGTGGGGAAGTGAGGAGGTCTAATGTTTACAGATTCAATGTCTCACAACGGCGGCGGGGAGAAAGAGAGAGGGTGACGCGTGCTGACGTCAATGGGACCAATACGAGCGTCGCACAGCTGGCGCGGAGCAAGCAGGCGTCGCGCCGTTTTGGAATGCGGCCAAGCCAGGGTGTCGAACCGGAACCGAACCGAAAACCGGAACAGAACCGTTATTTTTAGCCGCACCGGAATCGAACCGAACAGAAATCTTCGCCGCCATCTTAGAACTGAACCAGAAAAATATAACGGAAACCAGTTCAAACCGGTTCACGGTAATTTTTTAAATTTTTTGTTAGTATCACAAAGTTAAGATTTGCGAATAAAAAATTGGCAGCTGTATATCTACGTATTGATCAAATTGTCCTATACAGAATTGCAATGCATAAAAAATTGTGGGTTGAATTCATGGCGCTTTTGTATTGGCACTATGATTAATCACGTGTCACGTGATCACGTCACGTCACGGTGTCAAGATATGTTGTCAGGTAATGTCATGCCACGTGACCCCGCGACGTCACATAACTCACTGTGTCAAGTCGGTTTAAATTGAGAACATTACTAGATTTATTAACATAGTTGACACCGATACGTAACGCGACATTACGACTTCGCCCCGACAGTCAGGCGTCACAATGACGTACGCGATTTTCATGACCCCGAGTTGAGTGCTTGGGTTCATGACAATCAGCATCGCCAAACGTTCTGGTAACGTCTCGTGTTCAATGAAAGATGGTAATAGCCTAACTAACAATATCTCAAGCTCAGCCTATGCTCTATGCTTCGCAAACCGCAGCGCATGACTATGATAAACACTGACAGTATATAATTAGCGTCAGATCACATGGCCGCTTGTTCTAATTGCGAGTAGAAGAGGGAAAAGCTGTTTTATTTCCTTTATTTTGTTTTTGAGTCTGCCTTTGCGCGGAGGGAAACACTAATGGATGTTTTTGCAGGTTATCAAAGTCAGGAATTACCTCTTACTGTTGCACGACTCATTTGCGCGACGCATCGTTGAGGCACCCAAACATGTTTTCGTTGTTGCTGAACTGCCTCAGAATGTTGTCCCCGAGAATAGAAGTATTGAAAAGACTAAATGTGAGTTATTAATCCGACGTGACATAGAGCTACATGTATGTACGGGAGGGATCCCTGAAAAATATCCATGGCGGCCTTAGAGGGACAGCCGAACGTGTGCAGTCGCTCTCTCACGGGAGTGTCGTTCTCCAGTTCTTCCCGAAGTTTCGACCACCTCCGTATTTTGTTTAAACTTCCCTGCTGGGTGCATAATAAAGGCAATACAAGATGAGTGTTAACAACTGACA